CCCTTTCTTAAATTGTGCTATGAATTTTTACCTGAAGATTTTGATCAAGTGTTTTAGATTTCATGTGGTTTATTTGTTGTTGTTGTTGTTGTTGTGGTTGTTGTTGTTGTGTACAGTGGCTCGTTTTGATTTTTCATGGTGTGATCCTGAGTATCATCAGGAAACTTTGGAGAATTTGAAGACTGCTATTAAGAGTACTAAGAAGCTTTGTGCTGTGAGTTTATTTTCTGTTTCTGTATTTTTTCTTTTTTTGCTTCATATAGGTTTTATATTGAGGATAAATGATGGTAAAGGTGCTAAAAGTTTGTGACACGAATTGCGTTGGACAGGTTATGCTGGACACGGTGGGTGCGGAGATGCAGGTTGTTAACAAAAGTGAGACAACTATCACACTTGAGATAGATGGTCAGGTTGTTTTGACTCCTAACCAGGGACAAGAAGCTTCTTCAGAGATTTTGCCTATTAACTTTGATGGATTGGCTCAGGTTCGATTGATATTTTCCACCTTGTTGTTATTATATGATGTGACTTTCTTGCATTTACATTGCTTCCACTGAACGTTACTGCGGTTGATTTTTATTTTATTAGTATTAGTATTTTACACTGTTGGATATAGAGAGCATGCTTTGTTTGAGTCATTACTCTTTCCTCTTGGGGTTACATGGCTCAAAGTAGCATAAGTTTTATCTATTTGTTCAGTTTATTCTTGCTTACAATGTTAGAAGCAGTTAATGTGAATGTTAGGCTGAGAATCCCACGTGAAATTTGTTTTTCATGACTTTGAGATGTATGTTTGGATTCCTTCTGCTTTGCATTGTAATTTGTTGCTTGCGTAATTTTCAAATGCTTAATTGTTTACAGGCAGTGAAGACGGGAGACACTATTTTTATCGGTCAATACTTGTTCACAGGAAGTGAAACTACTTCTGTATGGCTAGAGGTAAAATAATTTGAACTCGGAATGCAAAATTTAGTCCAATACATACTTCTGTATGGCTAGAGGTAAAATAATTTGAACTCGGAATGCAAAATTTAGTGCAATATGTATTGCAAATTTTTTGCACATCAACTGTTTCTTTCAAAGATTATACATATATTTCACGTTGTTGAAATCACAAACATAAATAGGTCTAAAACCATAACAAAGAATATTTAATTTTTTTTACGTGCATGGTGACTGATGAGTTCTACTTGATGTTGTGCTTGTGCAGGTATCTGAAGTCAAAGGCAATGATGTTGTATGTATTATAAAGAATTCAGCTACATTGACAGGGTCATTGTTCACTTTGCATGCCTCTCAAATTCATATTGATTTACCTACTCTTACGGAGAAAGACAAGGAGGTGAGTTGTGTTTTTTCACTCAGATGTTTAAATTACTAACATTTCACGACACATGTTCACTGTGCCTAGAAAAGCTGGTCATCTTAAAGATGTGGGATTATTATATTGATTTAATAATTATTTAACTTTTTCTTTCAGGTTATAAGCACCTGGGGAGCTAAAAACAAAATCGATTTTCTGTCATTGTCATATACTCGGCATGCTCAAGATGTCCGCGAGGTAATTTGAACTTCTAATTGTTTACTTACTCAGTCATCTACTCATCTCAATACTCAATTTCTATTAGTAGGCCTTCATATGTTGTTTTAATGCAGGCTCGTGAATTTCTTTCCAAGTTAGGCGATCTTAGCCAGACTCAAATCTTTGCGAAAATTGAAAATGTTGAGGTGAACTACATATCTTCATTTCGGTTTAAATTATTATCTTATTGGCTAGGCTTAGTCAATTCTATATAAATAAATTTTACCTGTGTTGTTTCTTAGGGATTGACCCATTTTGACGACATTTTGCAAGAAGCTGATGGTATTATCCTTTCCCGTGGGAATTTGGGTATTGATCTTCCACCTGAGAAGGTCAGTGCTGTTGATGAAATTCATTTTGTAGTTTGATTTACTTAGCTTGCATTCTCGTACAATAAAAAACATTATCAACTTCCATTTGCTTTTATAGGTTTTTCTATTTCAAAAATCTGCCCTACAAAAGTGTAACATGGCTGGGAAGCCTGCTGTGCTCACGCGTGTTGTGGACAGCATGACTGACAACTTAAGACCAACTCGTGCTGAAGCCACTGATGTTGCTAATGCTGTTTTAGATGGTAAGTTGCTGGTTATATGATTCAGCATTCATCTTATTCTCAACGATTAAAACAGGCGATGCACACTTTGCTTCAGTGGTTGTTTACTGTGTTTTTCGTTAGAAGCACTTGATTGATATGTTTGTTTAACTGTTAATAAATAAACAGGAAGCGATGCAATTCTTCTCGGTGCTGAGACTTTACGTGGGTTGTACCCCGTCGAGACTATTTCTACTGTTGGCAGAATTTGTTCAGAGGTAAGTTCATTAGATGGCCCATTGATTTTGTTTATTAACATGCAGGTTTTTTGGTTTCTGATCATGCACTTTATTTTTTTGCTCGACTATGGGCTCTGTTGCATAAATGAATCTTGTTGACTAATATCTCTGCCTTCCATTTCATCTCCTTGTATTGTAGGCTGAGAAAGTTTTCAATCAAGATGTTTATTTTAAAAGGACGGTCAAACACGTTGGAGAACCCATGACCCACTTGGAATCTATTGCATCCTCTGCGGTAGCTTCATCTGAACATTTCTTTATTTCTATAGTATTTTTCATATGCAAGCTTATTCATAAGTGCTTATTTTAATAAGCACTTGTGCTATAAGCTGTTTATCCAAACAGACCCTCTATAACTTTGAAATCAGGCTTCTTACTTGCAAATCTTTACTTGTTAGGTACGTGCTGCTATTAAGGTGAAGGCTTCTATTATAATTTGCTTCACTTCATCTGGAAGGGCTGCAAGGTAACTATCTTTATGTAATATGATACGAATATGTTTGTATTCCTTTTATTGTGAAGAAGTCACTCTTGCCTTGAGCTTAACTGTAGCAAACAAACACTTTCTTCAATTAATATCAGTACTATTCTTTCTTGCCCCGCATCATGACTCTATCCTTAAGATTTTCTATCTAAACATGTTATGTACTCCTATCAGGTTGATTGCAAAATATAGGCCAACAATGCCGGTTCTCTCTGTGGTGATCCCCCGACTCAAGACAAATCAGCTTAAGTGGAGCTTTAGCGGAGCTTTTGAGGTTAGATCGTAACTTTGGATCTGTTGACTAGAAAATATATTGACCAGGGCGTATTTTGTGGTTTACGTTGTACCGCCTTTTTATGTATCAAACTAATGAAAATATTCAATTTGTGACTCAGGCAAGGCAATCACTTATTGTAAGAGGTCTCTTTCCTATGCTTGCCGATCCTCGACATCCAGTAAGTTTTTCTCGGCAACTCTCAGTTTTATTTCTTTCTTCAGTTAATACTCAGTGTTCTATCGAGATTGTAATCTCTCTTATAAATGAACGTTACTTTACACGCAACACATAACACAGTGATTGTAGATTTACCAGATGTTGATGTCATATACTTTATCTTTGCAGGCCGAGTCAACAAGTGCATCAAATGAATCTATTCTTAAGGTTGCCCTTGATCATGGAAAAGCATTGGGAGTTATAAAGTCACACGATCGAGTCGTTGTTTGTCAGAAACTTGGTGATGCATCCGTGGTTAAGATTATTGAGCTCGAAGATTAAACTGCATTAATCCAACAGCTTTAGTTCCAGTATTATTTTTGGGAGTCTACATTATTTCCCAAGTTTTTGAAAGTTGCAGATCATTCTGCCACACGAGTCAAGGTTATCTTGATTTTGATCACTAAATTATGTTCCAAGTATTGGAAATGAACACTGGCTGTCTCACATAAAATCAAGGGAATGCGACCTTGATGTCAAAAACTTTCGAATATTTTTGGTTTAATTATTTATATAAGAACACAGCTTGATAATGTGTTGTTGGATACAATCGCCAAACTAATGATGCAAATAGTTTGTTTTTTCAATTATTACCAATTGTGCATGTGTTCTATTTTATTCTTTATTCTCTTTGGTCATGAACAAGTATATTTGATGATGGAAAACGTGTTGGAATCAAGATGATTTGCTTAAGTGCTAATAATACTATCATGACACGATGATTCATTATTGTATGGTAAAAGTATAGTTTAATTTAGCCAGGGAGTAAATTTTAGTATAGTAGAAGACAATAATAAGAAAGGATCATCACATGAAAAGGGTGTAAAACTTAGCATAAATCTATCTCTAAGCACAAAAGATTCACATGCTGAGATTCTCTTGCATTGCATCATCTTTTCTTTACATAGTAATTAAGGCCAAGCATAAATAATTCTAGCGTTAAATAATACTAATCATCATTATTAAGATTAGCAAATTCAACTAAGATCGAGTGAACTAGCTATTTCTTAATGAAAAATAACTTTTATTAATTTTTTTATAAAATTTAAATCAATTTCATATCCATTATATATAAATTTAATAAATTTTTACGTTAATAAACTATTGTGAGATATTTTTATTTGTTTAAATAATGAATTTGATTCAATCAAATAACTCTTTTTTTAGAGTAAATTCATCAAATCGACACCTCTAAATAAAAATAATATTTTGATAAAATAAAAGAGATACATATCATTTGAAAATACTGTAATTGTTTTTTGAAGGGTAATATGTTCGTCATTTGAAACAATTGAAAACCACATTTTTATATAATTGAAATGAAATAAATAGGAAATTATATCATCAAGCAGCACCCGTGGCCTAATGGATAAGGCGTTTGACTTCTAATCAAGCGATTGTGGGTTCGAGTCCCACCGGGTGTGCATTACTTTTTCATCATTTTTAACTAAACACAGTCCATAAAAAACAGACATACTCTTGATTTTTAATAAATTCAATAGTAACACCAAAAATAGTACAACCACAATAGTTTCATCTATTTGGCTTAGTCTACATTCTACAACTAGTTTCATCTATCATACAAATTCATCTTCTTCATTCCTCACTCTCTAAGTAGAAGAATGTTGCTGTTGTTGATGCTGTTGCTGTTGAATATTCATCAACTCAATCTCCTTCTTCCTAATAAGCAAAACCATTCTTTCATTTTCTAATCTCCTCCTTTCATTTTCAAGTTTTGCTCTCTTCATTTCCCTCTCTTTCTTGCTACTATACCTTGCCCATTTCAGCCTTTGTTTTTCCAACTCAAAAGCTTGTGATTCATAGCTTATTTTCTGTTCCTCCAGCTGCAAAATTCTGTTTCTTATCCATTGCTTTTTCTCCCATGGACTCTTGCCGCCATCTTGAAAGACGCCACTTATTTCATTGTTCATTTGATTCATCAATGGTAATGATGAGGATGACATGGAAACGGGAAATCCTCCTTTTCTTCGTCTTTTCCGCGATGGTTTTCCGTCATTCTCATCTTCATCTTGATCATTTGAATGACCAATTTGACACTTTGAACCACCTTCTCCTGATTCATCTTCATCCTCATCAGAAAAGTCCTCTGATTCATCGTCTTCATCTTCATCCTCCTCCTCTTCAGCCTCTCCACTTCCTATTTTCAAAATCCTCAAACCCGAACCACTCAAATTCCCAACACCATTTTCTGTTGAATGGAAACATGGTTGTTGTTGCGGCTGCTGTTGATGTTGTTGAGGTTGATTCAGAGGTGTTGTTGGTCCACTTCCACCTTCTACTTGCTGAAGTTGAACATTAGAACCACCACCAGCATGACCACAACTATTATGATAAGCACACATTTCCCTAAAGAAAAGATGCTTAGAATTCAGCAACTTCCTAACTTCATCTTTCATCTTAGGTGTCAAATCCATTGAATCCATCAAATTCTGATTCTCCACAACCCTACAAGCTGTCCCTTTTCCAAGTATATCATTCACCCTCTTATACCTTTTATTCAAATCATTGAACTTATCTTCACATTGTTGAGGTGAGACATAAAACCCTTTCTCCATCATAGCCCTTGAAACAGATTTCCATTTCCCTTTCTTCTGTAACAACCCACTTGCTTTCTTCTTATTACCCATTGGATCAGTCCCTTCAGAACCACCTTCATCCCCAATGTAATAAACCGCCATTATCAAAAGCCTCACCATTGTATCAGTCCATTTCATTCTTTGCCAAGGCGAAAATTTCCTCTTTGGATCACCACCACCAGAGGTTTCATCAGCTTGAAAACTTGGCTCATCCTCAATCTCATCACTCACCTGAGAACCTTGCTGCTGCTGCTGCTGCTGCTGTTGTTTGTTCCTGGATGAAGAAAAAGGAGGGTACCCATGTTTCATTGATTGATGCAACTGTTGTTGTTGTTGTTGTTGTTGTTGATGATGTGTGTCAGTGTCATGAGGATGGGGAGCATAGGAAACACCTTGGGAAAGGTGCAAATGGTGGGGATTTTGTTGTTGAATAGAGAGATTCTGTTGTTGTTGTTGTTGGTGTTGTAAAGAGTTATTATTATCAACTACTCCTACAAAACCAGAAGTAGTGATAGGAGAAAACATTCCATTAGCATCCATCATTCAAAAACCGCAGAACAAAAAGGAACGAACTTTGAACGAACTGGACTAGCCCTTTTATCGAACAGTTGAAATGCACAAAAGGGTGAAAGAAAGTAGAGAAATTGGGTTTAGAACATTACATATAAATTATGGGTTGTTGGTTGGTGTGATGAGAGAGACAATAGAGAAAGGTGTATATAATAAAAGTAAAGAAAGAGAGTAAAAATGTGTGTGAAATTGAAGCAACCGGTTTTGTGAGAAAAACTGCCCATGGTATTTGCGTTTGAAAGAGAGGGACAGAGTAGGAAAGAGAGAACCCACAGGTTTTGTGCAAAACTGGGGAGCCACTGTGTAATAGCGCCAACACGGACGCTGGTTTTCGTTTGTTTTTTTGGTTCTCTAATCAAATAGCCCAATAATCCAACTAAACATTTACTAAGAGTTAAAAACTTTTATTATTTCTAAAAACATATGAAATTATAAATTTTTTTGATAGTTTCTTAATTTCGTCAAATGTATCAAAATTTATTATTACAAGAATTCTTACGATAAAATATTACACTATTACAACTTTCTTGTAAAATTCCACTTAAATGCTTAATTTTCCATCAAATCTTGTTAAAGTCATTACATTTCAACCATTTAACATGCGATTAATACATATTTGTTCAATTATTTGTGTTATTATTGTTTTTTTCCCTCCTGATATGCTGATAACGTTTACATTAGTAGAATTTAAACATGCACCATTTTGTATGTCGTGTTGCATGTATTTAAGTTCTATAATATCTTTTTATTGTTTTTATATGTTTTTGTTTTTGTAGTAATTTTGTTGTCATCTAATATATCTATGTATTCATGTTTTTGTTGGTGTTTCAGTAATCGATAAGAATAATATTTTATTTTTAGTTGGGATTTTCGACACGGATTAAAATCTAATCAAGAGAAAAGAATTTAAGAAGGTTCTTTGAAAATGTGAATTCATCTAAGTCGATTACAGTCGCAGTAGACTAGAAGAGACCCCTTAAGTAGTTAAGTGAGTCTGGAAACATCAAAAAGCCTAAAGAGTCAAGACCAAGCGAGCGAAGTGCGTTGGAGGGAAAAATGAATTTGAGTGGAGAACGTGGGTTCATGGAGAGAAGTTGCAAAATACACGTGGTGTACAAAGAAACGAAGCTCGCCAGAAAGCAGTTATTATATGTGTATTATAAATAAAGTACTTAGTGCATAGTGTTCGAGGTTCAAACTTTCACATTCCTATACGCTAGTCACTCAGAGTACCCAAACGAACGAGCGAATGAGTCAAGCTAGGGCAATGTATGAATCAACTTATTTTCAACTATTTTGATGTTGTGTCATTTATGTTTATAGTTTAAAACGCTTTTCGTTTTATTTTATAAGTCTTGCTTTATTGCTTATAAACTCGTCTGGCACCAGTCGAACGATTCCTTTTTGAACACATTTTGTGAAAACACTCGAAACCGAAGCACTATACTGAGATTCCCTGATTGATCTTGCAATAAACTTTTGTTAAGAGACCAACATTGTTTGCCGAAACTAGAGGTAAACAAATTGGCACACCTGATGGGACAATGCTAATAATTTCGTATTTGTGTTTGGTTTTATAAAGTCTCTTGTAGTTTAGTTTGTATGTATGAATTTAAGAAGTGGTAAACATTTATCGAAGTCTAAAATGCCACGCTCTGACACAAACACTGCACATACACATATTTCTACGCAAAATGTGGATGTCATACCAGTGAGTGCTACAACTCAAAGCGCGACGAGTTTATCTCCTGTGAGATCGACCTCTATTCATAGTTTAGTGACAACAGTCACAACGCCAAAACCTAGACATGAGGTATCACCATTTGACCCAAATTGATCACTCTTTCCAGGGGGTTCAGGATCATTATTTGTCCCTTATCAATATGGTATGCCTTATTCCATGATGGCTGGGTTACAGTCGAACCCATCCACATATATATAAAATGCAGTGGCCACTGGAAACCAAGGTAGTTATGTACTAGGTGGTCGACCAAGTGATGTTGGTTACATCCCTCAGTCGACACCATTTTGAATACTACTTCTGTTATGGCTTTGATGTAACAAATAGATGAGAATAATTTAGAGTTAATGAATATTTTAAATCAGCAAATAGGAGTTGCCTTTAATCTTGTAGTTGACCAAATAGGCAGATTGGTCGAGTCAATAGAGATCCAAGCAACTCAGATGCGCCAAAGTCCGTGAAGAGTTTTTGAAGAACTTGAGAGAGGTAACAACGAACGTCCTTTTAGACCTCGAAGGGTGGAAGTACCTACTTATAAAGATAAAGAATTTGTTGAACAATACGAACCTAGGACAGTGGTAGTTAGGAGGAATCAAGATGCTGATCAAGTGTTAAGAAATGCCACTGTTGGGCGTAAAAACATAATGAATATAGTAGAAGAAGTGTTAACATGATATGGGGTAAATGTTGGCCTTCGCAGGCCTAATTATTCGTCTCCCTTGCCTAATTATATTCGATAGACATAATTACCTAGGAGATGTAAGGTACCTAAATTTTCCAAGTTCGCTGGTGATGCTAATGAGTCGACCATTGAAGACATTGCTAGGTACGCAACAGAAGCTGGAGATATCGCCAATGATGAGGGTTTGAAATTAAGATATTTTCCTAATTCATTAACCAAGAATGATTTTACTTGGTTTACAACATTGAATCCAAATTCTATACGCACTTGAGAGCAACTTGAGGGCATATTTCATGAGCAATTTTATGCTAGTCAATCCAAGATAAGTTTGAAAGATTTATCCTCAATCAAGAGGAGGTCGTCTGAGTCAATTGAGGCTTATTTGAATAGGTTTAGGGTCATAAAGTCTAGATGTTTTACTAGAGTTCCTGAACATGAGCTGGTCAAAATAGCCGCTGGGGGGTTAGATTATTCTATTAGGAAGAAGTTTGATCCTTAATCTATTACATATATGTCTCAACTAGCCGATAAGGTTTGATATGTCAAACGTTTGAAAATAGAGAAAGTTGGAGTTTCAAAGGATCATAGAAAATGTAAAGTGGCCTATGTGGATACAGAGGATTATTCTATAGAGTCTGAAGATGAATGCATGGAAGAAGGAGAAATTAACATGGCTGAATTAAAAGCGGACCTCCATATGCATGTAAACTTATAAAATCGTCAAAAGGGAAAACAGTTGAAGAACAAAAAAGTGATAAATCTAATAATAAAACATATACTTTTGATGTGTCAAAATGTGATGAAATAATTGATGTTTTAGTTTCAGATGGTCAGATTATAGTGCTTCCAGGCAGTAAAAATCCACCATTAGAGCAGAAACAAAAAAGAGGTTTATGCAAGTATCATAATTTTCCGAGTCATAATACTTCTCAATGTTTTCTTTTCAGGGATTTGATACAAAATATACTGAAGGATGGTAGATTAAAATTTGGTGAAAAACCAAAAGGCTCCATGAAGGTCAACTCAGATCCTTTACATGTTGCTAATGCACACTTTGTCGAACCATTGGAAGTGTTGATGATCGAGGCTACTGACGGTCTTGGAGGCAAACAAGCCAATATTGTCGACCTAAGGGTAGCGTTGACAATCGATAATACTGATGGTATCAAGAATGAACAAGTTGTTATTGTTGATTCAAAGGTAGTTACAACAGTCGAGACTACTGAAGGTCTCAAAAGTGGCAATGGAAATCTGTCCAAGCCACATGAGATGATGGTAGTTGATATTGCTAAAAAGCTTGAGAGTAATCAGGACGGTAAGAAAAAAATGGATTGTGAAACCAAAGATTAGGAATTGTATGAAGAAATGGTTTTTGAATTGATGAAGGTCGTGTTTCCCAAACCTGAGGAGGAACTTGTAGATTTTATAAACAGATGCAAGTTAAGTAATTCCAGGTCCATGTTATGCCCAAGTACAACGTGGTCTATGATGAGAATGATGCGAAGAAAATTGAGGCTTTGAAGAAGAAACACCCTCAAGAGAAAAACTCAAAGGTGGTGTTCGATCACGAGAATGGGCCATACAAAGTCCAAGTGCCTCAAGGAAAACCTAAGTTCCCATATCAAAGGACTTTTGTGCCACCAACTAATGCTCCTAGAAACAACTAAGTTTGTCCTTTCTACCCAAGGGTGGAAAACCAAAATTGGAAAGAGGTAAAGAAAGGTTCAGGTTCAAATCAGAAATGAGAAATGATGGAGAAGGGGTCGAGTTCTTCTCAGTTTGCTGAAGCTGGAATTACATCAAAGAAATATCATGTTCCTCCCACATACAAAGGGGAGAATCATATGAAAAAGACTCAGTGGAGGAGGTTTCAAAGAAACAAAAAAGATGTGAGAGAAGCGGCATCAAAAGTTGCTCCATCAAAAGATGAGAGCGGTAAACAAGAAATGCACCGTCGACCAACAAAAGAAAGGTTGTCGATGCCAGTTATAAGTTTTCCACCAGTGAAAGCTGAGGATCCTAATGACAATATGGATGACGAATTATGTGATGACTTTGAAGATAGTTCAGAAGATGGCTTGATTATCCATTTTAATATCCTGTCGATCCTACCTAATGAGTATGGTCTTGCGTTAGAAGCATCAGCAGATGAAGATGAAGCTATGTGCGAAGAATCTACGAGCCAAAAACCGTTATGTTACTATGTCATGAATAATGGAGTGTGGAAGAACAACAAGCGATGTTCGAAAAGCCAACATCTGAGATGATGTAACACCTTAAGCCTTTATTTATAAGGACCAAAGTTGATGGTTTCCCTATAAACAAAGTATTTATTGACGGTGGTGTTGCTGTGAACCAAATGCCACAATCATTGCTGAAAAAGATTGGCAAGTTTGACACTAACCTCAAACCACATAATATGGTCTCGTCAAATTATGAAGGTAAAACAAGCCACATACTAGGTGTGATTCAAGTGAGTTTGTCAGTTGGTTGGACTATAAAGCCAACATTGTTCATGGTGATTGCGTCTATGGCAAATTATAATCT